AATAGCAGTCATTGTTACCGGTTTACTATTTTTTTAAGAGAGTTTTGTTCTTTGGTTTTTTGTTTTGTTTCGTTTTGTTTTGTTTTGCTGTAGGGTGCATGTACTCACTAGAGACAGAGAGAAGTGAGAAATCACCCCGCGGGGGTGGCCTCACTGCAGTCCTTTCCCCTCTATTCTCCTCTTGAGCATGTGTACTGATGTGCCCACATGAGTCTCAAGCCGCTGCTGAGTCCAGGACTCAAACTGTGGTCGACCCTGTGGGAGTCCAGTGACATATCTATTATGCCATCTGCTGGCCCCACTGATTTGCTATTTATATGTTTTTCCTAGTGTCTTAGTTTGAAAATGTTGTAATACACCACGAAGTTGAAAGAATTTTACAGTGATCATCTGTATACCTACCACCTAGATTCTGCTTGAACTGCTGGTTCCCTTGCTTTATCACAATCTTTCTAGCCATCCATGAATACATTTCGGTGTATTTCAGAATAAATTTTAAGTGTCAGGACACTTTGCTACGTAGTTCATCATGCGTATTATAGAGGTCCATATTTGTTTACAGTTGCTTTTTTTCTTCTTTACAATCACCATTTTAACTCTGTATGACTCATGAAGAGTTTTAAGTTTCATGCATATACAATTCCTGCAGACAGAGATGTTAGGCTTTGCAGTGGGAGGTCAGGGTTCCTACTCCTGTAGGCTGCCCTCCATGCACCCCAGTCAGCGGAAGTGCCGTGGGACATCACGGGAACACCATAGGTTTGTTGAGGCTAGTGCAATGGTTTTGTTTTGTTTTGCTGTAGGGTGCATGTACTCACTAGAGACAGAGAGAAGTGAGAAATCACCCCGCGGGGGTGGCCTCACTGCAGTCCTTTCCCCTCTATTCTCCTCTTGAGCATGTGTACTGATGTGCCCACATGAGTCTCAAGCCGCTGCTGAGTCCAGGACTCAAACTGTGGTCGACCCTGTGGGAGTCCAGTGACATATCTATTATGCCATCTGCTGGCCCCACTGATTTGCTATTTATATGTTTTTCCTAGTGTCTTAGTTTGAAAATGTTGTAATACACCACGAAGTTGAAAGAATTTTACAGTGATCATCTGTATACCTACCACCTAGATTCTGCTTGAACTGCTGGTTCCCTTGCTTTATCACAATCTTTCTAGCCATCCATGAATACATTTCGGTGTATTTCAGAATAAATTTTAAGTGTCAGGACACTTTGCTACGTAGTTCATCATGCGTATTATAGAGGTCCATATTTGTTTACAGTTGCTTTTTTTCTTCTTTACAATCACCATTTTAACTCTGTATGACTCATGAAGAGTTTTAAGTTTCATGCATATACAATTCCTGCAGACAGAGATGTTAGGCTTTGCAGTGGGAGGTCAGGGTTCCTACTCCTGTAGGCTGCCCTCCATGCACCCCAGTCAGCGGAAGTGCCGTGGGACATCACGGGAACACCATAGGTTTGTTGAGGCTAGTGCAATGCTAAGGCTCTTCGGGTTACAAAATTACAGCCCAGACTATAAAGGGTTAAGACAAACCGAGCACACTGAAAACCATTTGGGACTAAGAGTTCAGGGTTTTCAGAGGAAAGAGAATCCTGAGGGCTATTGTGGCCAGAGAATACCTCATGGAGAGGCAGATCTGAGCCAGGCTTTAAAGGGTGCGTGCAGGAAGTTAGGCAGTATGCAGTATCTCTTCCTCTTGGAAACGGGCAGTGGGAGAGGACATTTCCCATTGACCACTGGGGAAGGGCAGGCCTTCTCCCAGCAGAAACGTTCCGGCAACACAGAGCTTGCCGCCTGTCTCATTCCAGCTGGCCCTGCCCACTTTGCCCCCAGAGTCATCCAGGACAGGACACACTGCAACACCAAGCTGCCCTTGAGCTTCCCTGATTCTCAGCCCTCTGCCAGGTGCCTCTGCCCACCCCATGGCTTGGATTCTACCCACACGAGAATAAGCAGTTTCCTGTCAAGATGGCTTGATCCTGTACTCCCACATGGTGAGATCTAAACACCTCGGCATGGCGTATCAGGACCTTTTAAGCCCACTCCTGGAGTTCCACACGCTGCACCATTCTCTGGGGAACACGTGTTTCCTCTAACTGGCAAAACCAGTCCTCCAAGGTCCTGATGAAATTCTTCCTCTGTGAGGCCTGTGTCCCCACGCCCTCCGGCAGAATTCGCCTCCTCAGGACGCTTGTTCACAGGTTGTCATTTTTCAGTTGTGCGGAAGCCTGCCTACTTCCTGCCACTGCGTCCTATCTGCGCTCCACGGGCAGAGCCCTGTTCAGTCATCTTCATGCCCCGGCACATCTCAGCACAGATCAGACAGTGGGGGCAGGAAT